GTTAGAAAGTAATGGAAATAAGTCATCCACTTAGGTCTTTACCTTACTAGGGGAAAGAAATTTTTTCAAAATAATTTTTAAAGTTTTAAATTAAGTTTTTAGTCCAGGGTTATTCCAGCCCCTAAAACATATTGCAATGAAACAAAAACAACTCATACTGCAGCATTTTCATGTTAGCCTCATATTCAACTTGACATTTCTGATTGAGCAATGCTCTATTCTACATACAGAATTTAATTCTCATATTCTACTTTAGAAACTGAATTCTGTAAAATTTAATTTTTCAATAGGAAGCTGAGAAAAAAAATAACATTGAGTTCTGACTCCTAAAAAGGCAGGTCCAATGCAAATGATATGAAAGTAAGTAAAGAATTAATTAATTGCAGTGAATTTCAGATCAGGTCTGGAGATCAGTGTGCTCAGAATAGAACACCACAGAAGTCACTAATGTCAATGTCATGGTGGCATTTTTCCCTTGAGTGGGGATCATGAACAAACGAAATTAACAGAGGCTTTAATATTGATTTAAGAAGGTGCAGGCAGGGGCTCTAAGGACTGCTTAATGTTAAGCACGGGCATAAGTACTCTCCAGAAGATTTTTTTTATTTTTTTTTTACATCAGACACTATTTAAGTCAAAGGGAAAAGCAAATTTGTATCTGTGTGGAAATGAACTTTTTCAATAATAAAAGCAAAGGCTGTGAAATTCCTAGTTGGTGTGAGACCCCTGAAGTGAAGCAAATAATAGGGATTATATTTGTAACCTTTTTAGAGGTTTAATTAAACTTTATTATAACCTGTTTTTTACTTCAGTATTGTAGTACTGAAAGCTGCTTATACACTTTTATGCATTTGTCTTGTTCTGTAATTCATGTGGTTGGGTTTGTTACCTGGAGTTACAGGCTTGCTTTCCTGCTGAGGGAGGCTCATGGGGGCTTTTAGAGCAGAAATAATAAATAACTGACTTCACTTAAGGAGCCATTAAACTTTTTCCATGTTACGTGAAGTAAACAGGTATTGCACCCAGAAATGTTAAGTCTCTGTCAAGTTTGTGTGTGTGTCTTTAATTATGGTCTATATTTCCTCTGGCATGATTTATTAGTTTTCTTTGTAGTTTTGTCAGAGAGTTTACTTGCCATTTCAGTCTGAAGTAGCCATTACATTTCATTTTTTTTCCCTTCTCTTGGCAAGAAGTAAATCTGTACTATTTGCTGATTTGTTTATTACTGTCTGTAAACTTAACCCTGCTAAAGCCAGAGATTTTAAATACGTCAGATCATCTGAAAGCTACTTTACTATGGCTATATGGGTGACGTTATATGTGTGCAGAGAAATTCATTTCAACTACTACAAATGAGTCCTTTGGTAATACCCAGGAGTCCTAACGTGTGTGACATAATGAAACCTCCTAGATTACAGCCCACACTAATTACATCAGTTATTGCTACGTTCCAATCCCTGAAACAATTTGCTTGAAGCAGTGGTGACCTGTAATGGGCAGAAGGAGAGCTAGCAGCCCACGGACGCTCGGAGCTCCGGCACCAGCAGCTCCTCCTGCTGCGTCTCAGCGAGACCAAACACCACCAGGGAGGTGTTAACCTCACCTGGGAGGTACAGAGGTCCCCTCGGGAAAGGACAGTGGCTCTGGGGAATGAAACATTTAGGTTTTCCTGGTTTTATTGCCATTTACATTTATTCTGCAGCTACTTCTCCATGTATTAACTTTTGTCTCTTCATTATGTCTTTAATTCCTTTTTAAGAGTCCAGAGATTTTTTTTTTTTTTCTTAGTAGTATTTCCTTATTTTAATTGACATAAGAGAAGATACTTACTTTTACTCCTTAGTCTTTTTACTCTCCTGCTCGTGCAGAAAAGAAGAAAATAACCGAGCTGGGACGATGTCTCAGACCAAAAAGCACATGAATCTTGCTGGGGAGAAGCTGTGCCTAAGCAAACTACTGTCAGTAATCTTGATGAGGATAGATGTCAACTGTTTATTTATTCAGATGTGGGTTGGTTAACTTGCTTTTTCACTGTGGTGATTGCTACAAATCTATAAACAATACAATTTATTTATTTTTTTTTTTGTTAATTGGTTCATTTTGCTGAATTGGAAAGGAAAGCAGAGAAATGTAAATGTTTTTGCACAAATAGATTCTACCAAGAAAAAAATTTAAAAAAACAAAAACCCCAGTGCAAATTATGAGAAATGCTGCCTGCATGTTTTGAAACACAGCTAAAATGCCAGAGATGAGAATTGTGGCAACACGTGTGGCACTCAGGTTTTCCTTTGCATGTTTTTACCACTTTTTATAAATGTCAGGTCCTGTGCACTGTGCTGAAGCTGTTTGATTTTGACTTCCCTCTCACTGTAGGTGCAGAGGATCAACATCAAGCAGAACAAGGTGTTTTCAGCACTTGGGTCAGGGGCATTAGGAATCCTGGTCCATGAGCCCCCATGGATGCTCCAGGGGCACTGCACGGACCCTCCTGCCATCGTCTGGGCTGGGAATTGCCTTGCTGTGTTCCGCAGCACCTCTCTGCCTTCCAGCAGGCTGTGATCCCAACCTGTGCTGCTCTGCCAGGTACCTGGGGCTCACACCAGCTGCCCTGGGAACAGAAAAATCAGCCAGAAACATCTGATCATGGAGGGGCTCAAGTGCTAACCAGGCAGTCCTGTGGGGAAGAGACCCTGACAGAAATCCTCGGTCACTGTCACCGGTGTGACCAGTGTCGTTCAAAACTGAACTGTTCTTCGGCAGTGGTCACACTTTCTGGAAAAGTCCAACCAATTCTTGGTTTGGGCTCTTTTGTTCTTGACTCACATAGATATATCTGTGTGATGAAAGTGTTGTGATTCAGGTTTGGCAATTCATTGCTTTGTCATGAGACAGGAGTACCCCAAGCTTGGCTGTGAGCTGCTTGCATCTGCCTGGCAAAATTACTGAGACTCTGCTGGCTGCTCCCCCAAAGCCTGGACCACAAAGTTACCTGGAATTCCCTCTGCACCCACCTATCTCCCAACTGCAGATTTCTGTGTCTGCCTTCTTCCCTGCAGTTGGGAATATAAGGTGCTCATTTTGCTTTGGGAATGTGTTTTTCACAGAGGACACATCTTTTTCTCCCTCTCGTGTCATGAGATCCCTCTCACTCCTCTTTAGGCATTTTTTTAAAATTTTATTTTTAAATTTAATTACACTTCTCTGTCATTCATTGCTCGACACATTGAGTGCATCTGGAGAGGAAGGGGTAGCAGGCACATAAAATCTTTTTTTTTGATTGTTGTTGAACAGAAAGTTCCTTGCTTTTAAACATTTGACTACAGGAAGGTGTGTTCTTGTTACCAGAAGAGGTCAGGAATCCCCGTGGACAATTTAATCATGATCTTATGATTTTGTTCAAAATTTACTCCACAGGCAACTGTGGCTTCACTTTTGTATTTTTGATTTGTAGAGGAAAATAGCTCTACCTGTTACTACTTGACACAGGAACTGTTTTGCTGGACAAACACTGCTGAGTGTTATGTCCAAGCAGCCAAAGCAAGACCATTGCATGGGTTTGTTTCATTTTTCCAATAGCTGTTGTAAAATAACTAGCAAAGAACCTGCAATACTTAATGAGCCTGACAGACAGGGAAAGGTCAAAAGCAAGCAGGAGACCTGTTCTAACTCAATCCTCCTAGACTTATAACTTGTTTCTTAGACCAAACAGAACTTCTATTAAACACCAAAAAAAATAAGAGGGAAAAAAAAAAAAAAGAATTAAGAGATGACAGGCTGAAACTGCCTACTTTCCTGTCAGTGTCAGAAGGCATAAATTGTTTAAGTTTGCAGTGATTTCTGATTGAATATCCTTTTGAAGTTATGATAGCTATAATTTAAAGCAACAGTTACCATATTTTCTTCTCTTTGTGACATTCTTTGATGCCCTAAGTATAAATCTGCTTAAAATAGCTATAGCCATTCCTGGGTATGCTACCAGGATTTTTGGAGGTTCTGCCTCTAATTGCCATCATATGTACCTAATATCACAAACATAACTGCCTAATGACAATGTTGCTGAAAATACTTTCTTGACATAAGAAGAAAGATAAATTCAGAGGTACACATTAATTTTAAATTGTTTGCTAAGACTAAAACTTTTGCAAAGAAATTAGTTTTAATTAGCATAAATACTGTTCCAGGGCTGCTTGGCCCCAGACATGTATTCAGCTGTTGAGGAGTATTATATTATGATCAAATACAGCATCAGAAAATTGCTGCTTTTCAGGGGCAATTACAAAAATATTTTGGTATAAAATGATTCCAAACCTTGACATTGCCTCACACAACTATGTATGTACTCAATCAAGTAGATTTGTTTTTCCCAAAAGATTACATGCAACTTTAAAAAATACATGCAATTTGGGGATGAATGGAGGTTCATTGGCATCTTTCTCTATCTCCATTCTATCTCCATTCTGCTGCAGTTAGAAGAGAAGCTGAGCCTCTGAATATGTTCACTTTAAGACCATCTCATTATTGCATTGTGTAAAATAATGGAAAAACACAATGCATTAAAAATTAAATGTTTTAGTTAACTTATCTGGTATTTTCTGTTTTAATAATAAGCCTTTAATTATTTGAATGAATTGCAACATTTACTTTTTGGCATCTGGGAATAGAAATTATTTAAATAAAACTTAAAAAATAAAACCAAAAAAGGCAAAACAAAACAAAAACAAACAAACAAAAAACCCTGTAAATGAACAAATGAAAACAAAACAAACAAAAAAGGAAACTACAGAGGCACCTCTTTGGGGACCAAGCAAGGATTACCAGATCAGAGTACTTAAAGGGTTGGAAAGGAAGCTGGACAGATGGTAAAAGGGAACAGGACAGATGAGATAAATTATGATAATGTTGTAAGGCCCATTGAAGTGGGTGTCACAGCCAAGTGCAGTTTTTGCAGTTTATTGTTGAATATACTTTCTCTGCTTCTGTGTTCTTCCTTGCAGTCAAGACCACCAAATCCTGCTTGCCTCACTTGCTAGGACTTACTCTGCATTTTTATCACCTGATGCTGTCTCCTAATTACATAGAGTTCAGATCTGTAATAGCTCTGCTGACTTCCAAAGTAAATGTATAACTTTATAAACAAGGTAAGTTGGAAGCACAAGTGATCTTGCTGCAGCAGCAGGATACTTCTTGGCAAGGGCCAGTTCCTTTGACTTCCTTGATAACTGAAATACAAGGCAATTTGCAGTGGTGTCACTGTAATTCTCACAAGTGCTCCAGATCTCCAGTGCCTCTCAGCCTCATTTATAAGAGAGTAACAGCAGAATGACACTCCAGGTTGATTTGGTAGTGTAATGAGTAATTGTCATGCATGGCAGTGGAGGAGTTGGGCTTGTACTTCTAGAGTATAAAATTACTGATAAGCTATTCTCCCTTTTCTCAGCTCTCAGATGGAACTGAGATATGGAGGGATGAAGTTTCAGCTTTGTGGCTCTGCTCCTGGACTCTGGCCTTTCACAGAATGCAAGCTCATGATCTTGCCACTCAGGGAGTTGATTTCTTCAGAAGTTCTTCAGAGATTCAAAGTGCAGATAGGACAGTGCACCAAGTCCTGCACCTGAGCTGATTGCAGACACATACAGATCAGTGGATGGGAAAGTCTCTAATGTCTTTGTTTGCTTCCAAAAGGCATTTTCCTCAATCTGGTGCCATGAGTCAAGAACTGATTTTAGTGTTTGGATAATAAATCCTTCATCCAACTCTTAAAATTCCATTTGAAGAGACTCAATCATCATCCCTGCCCAACAGTGAGGTAAGGTAATTTGGCTTTGGGATAAATAAAAAGCTTTGGGATTACAGGCATCAATGGGCAGGTTTTGGTGTCTCCTGGCACCTCCTGGATCTACCTTGAGAAGGCAGTGGAGAGAACTGTGATATCCAAGACTTCATGTTAAAGACCATCTGGCAGTCTAACTGATCTGAGGTTTGCTGATGACCCTGCCCTCCACACTAAATAATTTAGGCTGCCCATCTGTGAAGGAGAGAACTGAGTAGGACTTTAAGAAACAACAAGGTGTGTGATGCAGATTCTTATGCTAATGGGAAAACCTTTCTGTATGGGAAAACAGAGGAGTCAAGAAGACATTTTATTAATCTCTTGTATAAATTACATCTTACAGAACACATTTCTAATATCTAAGAATGAGATTTTGAAACGGCAAAATTACAGTTACCAAGACAATCAGTATCAGTCCAAACCAAATACAGCACGTCCTAAAGGAATATGTCAAAAACCAGTTACTTAGCTGCAGTAAAACTGAGTATTTTGATGCCAAAAACTGTGGAGGACATGAAACTGCTGGGAATCACTGATGACTGTGTGTACCCTCTCCCTCTAAACAGATATTTAATTCTTCTTTGAGTAAGTAGCTGGAATAGATTGAGAAACCTGTACAGTTTTGGGGTTGTTGTGCCTGTGCAGATGCAGTGCTCTGTACCATGTTTGCTGCAGTGGCCATTCCCTGAAGTCACATACTGCAGCTGTCATGCTAGCAGAAGTCTGTTTATCTCTTTATGATCACAACTGGAAACAAATGTTCTCAAATTCTACATGCTAAAGAAAAAACACTTGTGATTTTCATGGTTAAAAATTGTGGGCAATGATAGAGAGAAACAGAAAGAAAAGTACTGTGAGAGTCTAGCAGAAGCCTGTGCCTGGGTTAACTGCTAATCCATGCCCAGGAGCCCCCAGTCCAGTGAGAGTGAGTCCAGCCCTGCCCTTTTTTTGTTCAGGAAACATGTTTCTCAGCTGTTGTTACAGAGGCTGGATGGTGATTTTGTTGAAGGCAATGGGAAGAGTATCTTCAAGGGATCAGAATCTGGCCTTATTTTTGCTGCAGGCTAAATGGGAAATTATCCTTTTTTTTTTTTTTTTTCATATTTCTGAAAGTACTCAAACCAGCATTGTATGGGTTTCCTCCTTATTTCCTTTTGTTCCTATTCAAGCATCTGTCTGAAGTAGTGTATTACATACTAATTTGGTCAGAGCTCTTTTTTTTTTTTTTTCTTTTGCATGGTTGGGTGTGATTACAGTCTTACACTTCATTTTCATTAATTTGCTTCATTTATTTGCTTTTGATCTTTTATTGAGCCTTATAGTATCTGTGTGTGTGAGAGAACATGCGTGCGTGCATGCAAACGGGAAATTTCTGCATTTATTTGTCTCTGGACAGAACACCCTCCCAGTGGAGCTGGGCTCTTGGTTACACCTGCTGCTTGTACATGGGTCTGACTGCTCACTGTGAGCCAGCAGCAGGGCACTCCCACCGTGGCCCTGCTCACCCACCTGCCTTTGTCCTTGGCAGTTCAGGCTGGAGCAGCAGGAGGAGTGAGGCTGCCCAGGGATTCCTGGGGCACAGCAAAGCCCTCCTTGGAGCAGCGCTGCCCTGCTCCGGCACACCGAGCAGGAGGGTCTGGGAAGAGGCTGCTGGCTGACTTTCCACCCTGGCACTTGTTCCGTGTTCCTGTAGGGGCATCTGAGGCTCAAACATTTCCTGTAATGTTCCCTTAGTAGTCTTCATCCTACGGGAAGGACTATAAATATGTGGATTACAAATTGAAATAAATACACACGTTTTGGGATAGTTGCTGGTAGCATCCAGCGCTGATCTGCGATTCTTGCAGGCTCCTCTGCTGTGTGAGAGGAGGGCTTGGCCTTCCAGGAGCAGCCCTGAGCACCAGCCAGGACACAGTGACTGGCTGGCCATCACACATTCAGCTCAGAAGTGCTCTCCCTGTCTTCTGCAGTGGGACACATCTCTTTGCTTCTCTTGCTTTGGGTTGTCCTCACTCCTGATACCACGAGCATGGTAACAGGGCAGTGGCAGAGGATGCCTTTCACCTTTCTTTTCTTCCCCTATTCCTCCTATCGCAGATTGTGTTGATACATGTGTTTTGCCCTGATCATTTCCTGCAAAGTTGGAGGGTAAAGCTCTCCATCACATGTCATCGTTGTCTATAATTACTGTTCTGTCATTGTCCTGGAGAGGAGCTGCTTCTGTCACCCCATCATCAGCTTTCTTCTCATCTTTTTGAAGCTTCACTTTCTCTCCTAGGTACCCAGGAACAGACTGATGATAGACTCTGTGATGTTTTTTGATCTTTCCCCTCATACCCTTGGATCTTACTCACCAATCTTCCTTGCCTTTCTGTCATTGCTAATAAATTTTCATTCCGTTAATGTTATCTGTATGTTAATACAGGAAAAGATACCAAAGTAGGAAATACTAATTCCAGAGTCAAAAGATATTTGGTTTGGCCAGCAAGCATATTTTTAGAGTGATAGTCCATGCAAGTCTTCTGGGTGTGCATCCTCCCACAAAAGCCACATTTAATGGGCAGTTACATGGAATGGCAAAAATGTTGTTCTTAATTAGTAAAACCTTGTGTTTCTAAAATAATTTTTATTGTCCTGAGCTTGCTCTATCAAGCTGTGGTCAATAAGGTCTGGCCTTGCCGTTGTTCTTGTTTCTCAGGCAATGTTTTATAATACTCCCTGTTATTCCTTTTTCTTGACATATTTTATATAAATATTATAAGAATATGTTTGATTTGTACCATCTCATCTAGAACCTTTTAAAATTCCTTCTTGAACTAAAAGCATACCAATGCTTGAAGAAAAATAAGCACAGTACCCTTATCACTCTGGTACTGTTTTCTTCTAAAATATCTCCCATTTGGAAGTCTTTACTGTAATAACTGGGATATGAGCACAAAGGCTGGAATTTTCCCAAATAAGAGAGCTTTAAGCTGTAACTTCTTAATACAAAAGCTTCTTTTTTGTTAAATTATATATAAGTATTTTCGGCAGGACCTCCTATGCTCAACTATGCGGTGAGCACTCCCTTTTGCAGTATCAGCTGAAAAGTGTATCTTCTATAGCATTTATATCAAGGTCACTGTTAGAAACAAATCTTGCTTTACTTTAGAGGGTGAGCCAGAGGTATCTAGTCAGAGATACATGCACAAAATACGTGGCTGCTTTTTAGTTTCAGGATCATTGCCCTCTGATCTCACTCACCTCTTTTAATGCTGTGCAGAAACACAAACCCTGGATTGCAGTCTGGGCAAAAACATGGGTTGGATGTGAATGAATCAATAGATTCTCCACACAGATGAGAACATAGAGATTCTTTCAATCTGTGATATTGCCAACTGCAGACAGAGTATTTCCTTTCTTTTGCCCCTTTCTGCACATTTACACCCGTATTAAGAAGAGTGAATCCATCTTGTTGTTCAAAAGATAAAGCTTCTCCTATAACATGTCACTAACTGCTACAGCTGATATATTTCAGAGGAAATTTCAGTGGGATTTGGATGCCTAACTGCTCTAAATTCCTTTGGAAATCCCAGTCTCGTAGTCCTATATGGTGGTGTAAAAAGTGCCTTCTGTAAAGAAATTTTCATTTCGCATCTCTCTCCTGGGCCAGCTGGGACACAGCATCTCAAGCAAAACAGAAATCACATTTCCAGCTCCCCCTGCTTACAAAAGGATATGTTTCATCCCCCCCAGCAGCACTGGTGCCTGCTGGGTCTGGGAGAAGGAACCTGATGATCACGCCGCTGCTGGGGTCAGTGGTATGTTACACTGCCTACATTTTCTTTTCAACTCTCAAAAATGTGTTTTGCCTTCCCATTGGCAGTATTCCTAAAACACTGATGAGGCTGCAAATACTAAGCTCTTTATGGTTCCAGTCTATAGCAGTTAGGTGGGTTTTTCTGTGAGTTTCCCATGAAATTTTTGTAAAGTGTGTGTAAGAAATGCCTGATCCAATGAAGAAAATAGCAACTGATACATTTGTTTTTCAGCATATACATACAGAGTTTAATTTAGCATAGAGAAGCAACTAAGAATCAAGTATTGTTATGGTAAAACACTTCCTTTCATCTAGAGTTATATGTGATCCCATAATAAATCCAAATGTGCATGATAGTGTTTTTAGAAAGTGAAAATTTAAATTAAGAGTGTGGCTAGTACTGAGTTCCACTCTCTGCCATTATCTCAGTAAATTTGAGTTTGTGTGGCGTGAGTATTCAGAAGTAAAACTTGCATGAAATCTTCCAATTGTGAATGCCTTTTCCTTATAAGAATTTGCAGTGAATCTCTGGAAACTTGTTAAGTCCCCAAGGGGATAAGAATTCACAGATCTAACTAACCCTGAGGGTCATGTTATCACACAGATTAACTATTCTCAACCAATTTCTGAAATGCATTAGGCAGTTAAGGCTTTCTATCAACATTAGTAATGTGTACTTTCTTTTTCTACCTATTTGTCCTTAAATATATTTATTAGGTCCCTGACACTCAGGGGCCCTCTTTCCTATTATTAATCAGCTTCTCACATGTCCCTGAAGCATCTCTATTTCACATTTTCAGCTAATTATTCTTCTAATTATTCCTTTTAATGGAGTCAGTACACAGTACCGCTAATATTAATACATAGTGCTACTCCACAACATTGTATCTGTAAAAATAGTATCAATAATATCAAGCATATTTTTTCAACCCAAACAAAGTTTTGAATTTTGTTGAATAAAACAAGGGATGTAATGTTTCTCAGAAGCTGTGTTATAGACTTGATAAATAAAGGCAGGAAGTAGGAAGTCACTGAGAGTCAGATACATCAAAATGAGGACTTTTATAATATCTGTGTCTCAGATAAGGCTTCTCCAAGTTAAACTGATATATACCATGGACAATGGCTGTATA